CAGAGAAATTAGCATGTCAATGAGAGTGGCAGGGGGAGAGAAATTGGAAGTTTGAGAAAACAAACATAGTAAACTTAGAAATGTAATGCAATGCAACACAAAGAGTCGGCTAACACAATAGTTAACACTTTACCTGGTTGATTACGTTCTTACAAAGATTGCTAAGTTTACTAGGTTTGTTTTCTCAAACTTCCAATTTATCTCCTTCTGCCGCTCTCTAAGTTTACTAGGTTTGTTTTCTCAGAGTTACAATTTCTCTTCCCCTGCATTCCACTCACAAAGGGGCAGCTGTTTTTATTTTTGAAATCGTTGCCTGTTTGTTGTCCAGATGTCTTTATGACTGCCATGTTTCCGTTCATGTTTTGGGCAGCGTGTCTCCATCCTCTCATCACGGGTTGGAAGTAAAACAAAAATACCTTTACACCTCTTATAGCTTGGTACAGTACCATTTTTTGTAGTCCGTGACTCTGCAAATGACTCAACGACTCAAAGTACGTTTTGAGCATCGTTAACAGCACTCATGTCGCGGTTTGGAACTCTTGCATGGTATTTGAAATATTAGGGGGAGGCGCCCCCCCCCGCATACATAATTTACTGCTGCCTTATGCTATGTTAGCTACTGGAAGACAAAGGCTGTTGGTGACGCTCTGATCCCATGGAATACATATTATATTGGTCGTGTGTGATTGACATATTTCGCATTGTATCTCTTCTGAATGACCCTCGGCCTAATACTCCCATAATTATTATTTGGTTTATGCTTAACCAAGATTTGTGGTATACCATAATTGTTTCCAAGGATATTCCGAGGGTCCTATTAACCTTTGTTCCCCGTCTGTATCGCCAGGGATCCGCGCTTCTCAGTTATTTTTTGATATCCTGAGATTAAACATATAGCTAAGCTTGTTTCTACTTTTGGAATTTTAAACCCCAGTCAGCTCGTAATGATTAACTGCCCTTGGGTGGATTTTGCTGTCTGGCGGAGGTTCGTGACCCCTGTTGTTTCCGTCTGTTGTGTTGTCTCGAGGGACAGCAGGTATGCGTCACTGCACATTTTTTTTGGAACTCGCTTAATCCATATGTAATAACAGCCATAGAGGGTTCACGTGGGGATTGGCTTGCCGGTCCTGCTTGTAGCCAATAAGGGTTGAGATAGGGACCATGGCCCATGCGTCATCACGACAGGTCATCAGGAGTGATTGGCCCAGCCATTCGGGGTCCCAGCTAATGGGGAGCCGGATGAGGGGCGTGGTCCCGGGATTGACAGGGAACCATCGAGAATGGTCAAAGCTGTCTATGAACGATTGGCTGGGGGAACCACGTGACGAAGGTATTAAGAGCGAGTGAGAGAGAACGATCGAGAGCAGACTGAAACTAACAGGAGCAGGGTCACGCGCGGACGGGGGCTGGGGTTGCCACGTGCGCGGTGAGGACTCAGTGCGTAGTCTGTCCTCTCTCCGTTGTCTGCCAGCAACGGAGAGTGAGTGAGCAAGTGTATTGAAAGTGGAAATAAAGGACTGATTCCGAAGCCGTCTCCGGGAGGATTATTACACATATATATGTAGAGGGGTAGTGTGAGCAACCATGAGAGGGCATACAGAAGTAGGTGCGAACGAGTTGACGGCAGAGGATGACGTGATGTTACGGGTGCTGTAAGGGGGTACCTTTGGGAACAAAGGCGGGTCCGAGTTAGGTGGAGGCGCCGCCCAAGGGGTACTTAAGGGGGACCCCGTGATGAGGGCGTGGTCGTTGTGGGAGCCCGGAGTAAGGATTGGCTGCAGGAGGTCTCTCCCGCTCGTCGCCGGACAGTGTTGGCTGAACTCCCGCCCGGGGCAGATGAGTGGGAGAGCCAAGGGGATAGCCGAGAGCAGGGCTCCAAGTATTCAGTGAGGATCGGCTGAAAGAGAGTGGGTTCTTCTCTCCTCGTTGCCGGGCAGTATTGGATGAGCTCCCGCCCCAGCCCGTGTGAGAGAGCCCAAGGGATAGCCGAGAGTAGGACGACATAGTGTTTGAGGGTCCAGGGAAAGGGCCCAGAATAGAGAGCACCTACTTCTGTGTGCTGAATGTAATAGCGTTTAATAAACGGCAACAGCCCTAATAGTAAATTCCGTATCCGCGTGGTTCTATGACACAACATATATGTAATGCGAGCATAAACGGGGTTTGCTGCTGGGCTCTGGCCCAATCACACGTCCCGGGGTATTGGGGGGCGGAGCCCAGTATGGGGGGCGTGTGGGAGGGGCGGCCGTTCACCTCGGGTCCAATTAGAAGCGAGGTGAATGGGGGTGGAGCCAGCAGGGCAGTATGGGAAGGCCGTATCTGACGATCCGGAAGGGGAGGAGTCAGGGTCACGTGGTAAAGAGGATATAGGTGGGAGCCCGGAAGGGATCGGGGTCAATTGCGGGAGTAAAGAGGCTGAGCCACGTTGGGTGGCCGGAGGGGATCCACGCCATCAGCCACGTGGCTGAAGGATCTTCGGCACGCCGTCGGCCAGCGGTGTGCGGAGTGGGGGGAGCGGAGGAGCTGTTGGAGGAGCGTGCGGGGGCGCGTGCGAGGAGACGCTGGTCCGCTGTCAGGACCAGCGGGGTGCGAGGAGGAAACTAAATAAAAGACCAACGGAGACCAGCAGTGCCTGACAAAGTCTTTTATTACATATATAAGAAAATCGATTACATAAAAAATAAGCAATATCACTCTTTATATTAATTTTTGGAAAAAGCATTTTTCCAACAGTCACCATACCATCCCCAAATGGACTGTATGGTGGAACGCCTGCATAGAACCCTGACAACCATGCTCTGTCAGACGGTTAGTGCGGATCAAACCGATTGGGATCTGCATGTTCCGGGAGTCCTGGCAGCATACAGGATGACTCCCCACGTTTCCACGGGATTTTTGCCATTTTCCTCATGTATGGGAGAGAAAATGAACGCTCCATGGAGGTTCAATTGGGTCTGTCAGAGAAGAAGGGTAAGACGATATTGCCTACGCCCCTGCAAATTACGCTGAAGCGCATTTCGGCAGAATGCGAAGCGGCCAATGTGAACACTGCCAAAGCGCAGGTGGCTATTGAAAGAAATGCAGGGCGGTATGACCATGTGCTGCCATGGACCATAGGGGACCAGGCGTGGTTGCACTGCCCACAGGTGCTGCTCTGAACGTCCCCTTAAATTGCATCGGCCATAGCAGGGTCCCGTGGAAGTAGTGGAAGTCAAATGGCCGCATTGCGTGCATATACGGGTGGGCCGTCGCAGTTGATTTGTCCACCCTTCCAAAACTGACACCTCATCTCCAAGCATTGTATGGCCGGTGTGTCAGAAGGATTGTGTTGTGCCGCCCACAGTTTCTGAGCCCCTGAAGGTTGGGGGGCCACGAGGTCTCGCTGAATGCGAGGGACCGCCGGCTGCGACCTGGCCTACATCACCTGCGAAGTTGGGGATGGAGCCAACTCCTCCCGGGCTTTTGTGTGAGCCCACATCACCTGTGAAGGATGTGAAGATTGCCTCCAAGGATGGATCAGCATCAAGGACTCGGTCGAAATGTTCTATGTTCCGATGAAAGGAATATCCCTGTGTGTGTGTATTAGGGGGCTTTGGGGTCGCGTTCGCGCATTACGCAGAGGGGGAATTTTGTATTTCTCTCCACCTCTCTTTTTCTCTTCTCTCCTCTCCCTACCTCTACCTTCAAGAGTTGTAGCTTGGGTTTTCCTTTTCGATTGCGGATTGTACTGCCCTAACAAAAACATTGTCATTGTCTTTTTTTTTTACTGTTTATTGTGGAACTCTTCTGTCCAACGTTTGATTTTGTTAGTATTAGCCGGGACGGCTATCTTTTAAACATGGAGGGGGGTGATGTAATGACAGGGAACCATCTGTTAACCTGGAGGGTTAATCACGGGTATGGGTGTGTTATATAATATCCAACTATAAGGGGGCGTAACTGGGCTAAGTTAAAGGTGAGGTCAGTCGGGAAGCTTCGGGAACCTGCAAGAGGGTTCTTGAAGGGGGCGTGGCCAGAGGCGGGGCCTGGCCACGCCGAGGAGTATATAGGGGGGACGTGACCGAAGGTTCGGGGCTGTCGTGGGGTCCGGGTCCTGGCTGCCGTCGCTGTCTTCGCCGTCATCTCTTCTTCATCATCCGACCGCATGTCCGATCCGCTGTTCGGCTCCCATCGTCGTCGTCGTTATATTCGTCAGCCAGCTATATAGTTAGATGCCGACGATGGGGCTGTGTTGATGGATAAGCTATGCATAGCCCCGTATGTCGCTCAGTGATTGTGCCTGTAAGTGTGAGAAATAAATAAGGAGCTCTCTACACGTCGTGTCTCGGAAATCGCTCACTACACATGTGTTAAACCAATGGTGCTGATAAGATGCACTCAAAGATGGAAGACCATGTGGCTGATGGGATGTGTAAACATAACTTTTATATTTTACATGGAGGGACAGATTTAATGTGAATGAGGCAAATTGTCTGATTATTTATGTATTTGTATCATGTCCACGTGATGCGAGCACATCCGATGAACTCCATCACAATCATCATCACTCTCATTAAATCTATAAATCTTTTATTACAAATACATTTACATAGCATCACTGAAATCAAGCAAATGTTATAAAGGCAATCACAAAACTCGGCAAATAGATAATTCCCTCAATACACAACACAACGTAATATGTACCGTCATTGTGGAGAATACTCTTTGGTTCTTTCGGTAAAGTTACGTAGGTATAAAAATAAAATAAATCACGATGTTTCGGGCGCAACACAAGCGTCCGTCATCAGGTGGGAAAGCATGGCCTGCTGCTGATGCAGACTGTTTTAAAACACTTGATGCAGACTGTTTAAAAACACTATTTTAAAACAGTCTGCATCAGCAGCAGGTCATGATTTCCCACCTGATGACAGACGCTTGTGTTGCGCCCGAAACGTCGTGATTTATTTTATTTTTTTACCTACGTGACTTTACCGAAATAACCAAAGAGTATGGATTCCTGCAGTCACGAAAGCTTAAAATCAAGATTGTGGAGAATTTATATGCTGATGAGACTCTGAATGTCGAAACCGGTCCAGAGTATTTCTCGTACTAAACTAATGGTTCAAACAAAAGCTTGACATTGCTGCTGATGTGTCACTAAATGTGGAAACTGATGTGTAATTTGTGGTGGAGAGAGTTTATTTGCTCACAGAGCTCGGCCAATAATTGGTTCGATGTTATTGTAATAATCAGTTTCATGTAAATTAGTGTTTATATGTAAGTATGTTCATATAATCGTGTATATATGTTACTTATGTTAATGTATGAATAATGATAATTGTCCAACGTTTTAACTCCCCAATTCCTAGCTCATTTGAATAAATCTTACTCAATTTCCCAAAACACATGTGTTTAGTAGGTATATCTTATAATCTGGTACATGTGTTTATGAGATGACTGTGTTTGCTGTGTTTAATTCTTGAGTACATTGCAAACATAATCAGCATCACTTCATAAGCCTGCAAAACACAGACACAACAGAGTTACACAAGGCTAATGGAGAGCCACAGCCTCGCACAAAAACACACAGACTCACGTACACATGCACTCACAGGGAGAGACGGAAACTCACATAGAGACATGCAGATTCACAGAGATGCACAAACTCGCAACAAGACACAAGGACTGACAAAGACACAAATTCCCATACATAAACACACACACTCCCACAAATACATACAGACTCACACAGGGACTCATATACTCCCACAGTGACACAATTATAATCCTCATTAGAGTGTCTCCATTGTATGGTCGTACTTTACTCCATTGCGATTACAACAGCATCAATCATTTCCCCTTTCTGGCAGCAGACAAATACACGAGGACAGCTGCCACTGGGGGTGCTATAGGCGAAACCATATTAGAGGTTTTGGGTTAGATTGCGTAAATATAAATGCGTTGTTAAACCTGCCACCACCTGTCACAGCCAATTAGTAAGGTTTGTCACGTTAATAGAACGTGTCAATTCGTTACGAGTATAGCACAATGGTGTGTTGGAGAGTAAATCCACAACATTTACAATTCGTGACTTAAAGCTTTCGTGACTGCAGGAGTTCATATTCTTTGGGTCTTTCGGTAAAGTCACGTGACTTTACCGAAAGACTCAAAGAATGTTTACAATTCGAGTATGACGCTTCGCCAGTAATTACAACTAGCATAATCAGGCGATAGCCAGGTTTGTGGAGCGATCCCATTGTTTTGTTTTTAACCACGCAACAACATTCAGCACCCCGTATTATCAAACTAATGCATAGGGACAGCTGCCACTTGGGGTGCCATACGTTGACCACACAGCGGCAATCATCGCCCCCTACTGGCAACAGACGACTGCCCCAGGTCACTTTTGCAAATTCGACTATATTCTGATCTCTCACCTGGTTTCTCACCTTGAGCTCTGGCCTGGTCACACATTACATTTGACACTTGAACCTTCATCTTCTTGGTTCTTTCGGTAAAGTCACGTAGAAGGGAAGTAATAAAATAATAAAAATAAAACATAATAAAATAATTCTCACGACGTTTCGGCCACAACGCGTGACTTTACCGATAGAACCAAGAAGATGAATCCCTGCAGTCACGAAAGCTTTAAATCGAAATTGAACCTTCATCATTACTACGATGGCTGTAGTGATGCGTGTGGCTTTGTTTAACACTCACAGAACATCAGTGCGATACTGATGACGATTGATGCGGTGAACTCCCACATCAACACACTGCAAGGAGGGGAGGACGAATTCTTGGTCGTTGGGGACCAATCCCTGGTCGTCGGGGACGATTTACTGGTCGTCGGGGACGATGTACTGGTCGTCGGGGACGATGTACTGGTCGTCGGGGACGATGTACTGGTCGTCGGGGACGATTTACTGGTCGTCGGGGACGATGTACTGGTCGTCGGGGACGATGTACTGGTCGTCGGGGACGATGTACTGGTCGTTGTTGGTGATACCTGTACATCATAAGCAGCATTATTAATATCATCATTAACATCATAAGCAAGATTGATATTAAGATCAACATCATTCTTATCAGCAAAAAAGAACATTATCATCATCATGAAAATCATCATCACCAACATGAATAATATCATCATCCGCAAGATCAATAATACATTTATTATCAATATAATCTGCAACTTAAAGAACATGACCATCGTGCATACGTTTTATGAGTTTGCGTTCGGGTGCTTCATAATTAACAAAGTATGTGCGTGTTTATTTATCTTATCTTTTTTTCTTTTTCTTATATATAAAAGTCTCCGCGCGCTCGCGCTTGCGGTGGATTTGGCTCTCAGACGGTGGCCTTCACGTAGAATTTTTTTTGCCAGGCGGCACGCCCCAAGCCCCGCGGTGGGAATAGGCTTTTCCGTTTTCCCGTCCGTAAACTTTAAAGTAGTTTCATTAACACTTTTGTGCCGTTTCTATTATTAATTATTTACTTATTGCGCGCCATCGACCATACCAAATAACGACAATTGCGTTGGGGGGGGCGGACCCTGCCAAGTGATGCGCGTTCGCTCCAGCTCACGGGGGACATTTCCTTTTACGCGTTTAACAGCCAATACATACACACATGACGCTGCGGGTATTTCTTCACAGTGTGATGTCCTCATTCCCCCCCCCCCCCCCCAACACGATGCGTCCAGTTTATACTACAGACTCCGTAGATCATATTTTTTTAGTGCTTACGTAGCATTATTCTTGCACGCCCGGGGGATGCTGGGGGGGGGGCGGGTAGAGGCCCAGCCCCTAGCCTGGTAACGTGCCAACTCCGCCGCCTCGCCAATGTAGGCCAGGACGGGGCTACGCATGGCACAAGGCCTCAACATGGCTATGGTAAGTACAAAGTTCCTTTCTTCTTACGCTAACAACTCAAGTCCATTGTTTACTATTGTTGTGCAGATAATTAATCACGTTCATTGCTTATTATTATTATTAAACAAATACCTTGCCAGATATTACAAGAATTATGTTTGTGTGCAGATAACAACTCAGGTTCATTTTTTACCATTATCAAACAAGTTCACAGATGTTATAATAATTATGTTTGTGTGCACAAAACTAATTTTTCATTATTAGATTGCTAAGTATTCGCTTTTTTGCTGAGCTTTTATGACGCTGCGACGGTCTACTGCCAGTCTGTGATGTGGCCTGCTGCCTGCTGATTAATTAACGTCAGTGCACTGCCACTCTATTATCTACTCTGCTCATTTTCCTTTTGACCATTATGAGTATATGCCAGTCTATAATCTGTTGCCTGCTTCTTTACCTCACTCAGTGTACTGCCAGCCTTTCATGTCGACTGTATTCTGCTTTTTCAGCTGCTGCCCGTATTGCCAGCTTTTTATGTCGACTGTATCAATGCTTATGTCATTGAGTCTGGGTACTGGCAGTCTATAATCTAGACTGTAGCCTGCTTCTCAACTTACCTTTGCGTACTGCTGCTCTTTAATTTACACTTATTTCTGCTTATTTCTTCAATGCATTTCTATTGTTTCGATTGCTCACGTCACGCTATTTACTCATACGTAGTACTGCCATACTGATAGCTGGTCCATCATCGGGGATTGCTGTGCACGTCGATGTGTGTGTGAGTCGATGTGTGTGTGTTTGAGTCCATATGTGTGTGTTTGTAGGTCCATACGTGTGTTTAAGTCCATGTGTGTGTCTGCCTTTTCGACCGGACAATGCCCGATGTGTGTGTGTACGTCGAAGTGTTTGTGTGTGTGTCAGTCCAAGTGTGCGTGTCAGTCCATTTGTGTGCATATCAGTCGCTGTGTGTGTGTGAGTTCATGTGTGTGTGTTAGTCGATGTGTGTGCATGGCTCCATCTGACTGTGTAAGTCAATGTGCGTTTGTGTGTCTGTGTGTGTCAGTCGATGTGTGTGCATACGTCGATGTGTATGTGTGTGTCAGTCCATATGTCTGTGTGTTAGTCCACATGTGTGTGTAAGTCCATACATGTGTGTGCCACTCGATGTGTGTATGTAAGTTAATGCGTGTGTGTCAGTCGATAGGTGTGTGCTAATCCAAGTGTGTGTATCTAAAGTACATGTCTGTGTGTCACAGTCCATATGTGTATGTGTGTGTAGGGCAATGTATGTGTCAGTCTATGTATGTGTGTAAGTCTAGTCCGGCAAAACAACCCCCTACCTCCTTGCGGTGCCGGACGGGCAACACTGTCGTGGACATTGCTGTGTGGGGAGGACCAATGCCCATTGGCCTCTCCCCTCATGGCGTGTGTTACCACCACAGTGGCTAAACGGGGGCTCTGGACGGGTGTGAGGGGCTGGTAACCCCTCCACCTTCAATTAATTACCACGAGATTACGATATAAACATAGAAATGTAACAAATAAGCTTGTGCCAGAGGCCCCGGGGGGACAAGCTTCTATGACGTCTCCTGGCCAAACCACAATTGGCGGAGCCAGGAGATTGAATCTTCACCCTCGGGGCTCCTCCAGAAACAACTAAAAACCACTGCGGATGGCCACGTGGAACGTTCGAACGCTCACTGCGGAGGAGAGGCTGCCACTCCTTTGTCGGGAGCTGGACCGGTACCGCCTGGATCTTTGTGGCATTCAGGAGGTCCGGTGGACCAGTTCTGGCTCCTGCCACCATGCGGGATGGACAGTCCTCCACTCGGGGCAGGAGACTGCCAAACAACAGGGTGTGGCTCTTATTCTGAACAAAAGAATGAAGGGGGCGTGGGAGCGTGGCGGTGAGGTGTGGGAAGCTGTAAGCCCCAGGATACTTTGGGCTTGCCTTCCCATCAACCGGAGGCGAGGAGTGGTGGTCGTGGTTACTTATGCCCCCACCGAAGACGAACATCCGTGGAGGGATGCAGGCAAAGCCGATGAGTCAGATGCCTTCTATGACCTCCTGTCACAGGTGCTGGCTAAAGTGGACACTCGGGACAGAGTCATCTTGTTGGGTGACTTCAATGCCCGAGTTGGTCATGATGCTGGCACCTGGTCTGGAGTGATTGGAAGGCATGGGCCAGATCAGCTCAATAACAACGGTCGGAGGCTGCTAGATTTTTGTGCAGCCCATGGGCTTGTAATTACCAACACGCTCTTCCGGCATTGGCGCATCCACACAACATCATGGATGCATGCCGGGTCCAAGCAAGAACATCTGTTGGACTACATAGTGACGGACCAGCAGATGTGAGCCCATGTCCTTGACACCAGGACTTACCGTGGAGCTGATCTGCCCTCTGAACATCGACTGTAAGATGCGCCTGCCATTCTTCCACTCCGGTGGTGGGTGTACACCCAGGACCCCATTCCAACCTAAAGTGGCCTGGTTTCAGCTGATGAAAGTTGCAAGCGAGAATTTCATCATCGCTTGCAGCTGGGGTTAGCATCGTCCCCCACTCCTTCTGATGTCGAGGGTAAATGGGCGAGGTTTAGGACTGTGACTCATGCAGCTGCAATGGCTGGTTTGGGTACGCGGTCCAGACCTCCCCAGAAACCTTGGCTGACAAAGGAGGTGTTCAGGTTAGTTGAGAAAAAGCGACAGGCCTACTCTCATCGGCTACAGCATCCCACGTCAGAGAATGAGGAGGTTTACCGTAGCCTTCGCTCGGAGGTTTGGAGAGCCGTAAGGCGCTGCAAGGATGGGTGGTGGTCGCGGGTTGCTGAGGAGATGGAGTCTGCCTCAGTGGCCCGCGATCACAAATCATTATTTAACACCATCAAAAAAGTAACCTGCAGCACCACACCTATTACCATCATTAGGGGGAAAAACGGTGATCCAATCTCTGACCCCCAGGAACAGGTTTGCAGATTTGCTGAGCATTTCTGTGAGGTCCTGACGAAGGGGAAATCCCTCAGCCAGGAAAACATTATGGCCCAAAGTGGGGATAACCCTGCTGAGGCTGCGGTGCCTCGAATATTGGAAGAGGTCACCCCCTGTGAGTGGCTGGCTGAGGTGCCATCTGTTGAGGAAGTACTGAAGGCGATCCGGAGTCTGAGACCAGGAAAGGCACCGGGCAGAGATGATCTCCCAAGCGAAATGCTCAGGGAGGGTGGCGTTTGTGCACAGACTGCCCTATATGACAAGATAACAACAGTCTGGACCACTGGACGGGTTCTGTAGGATTGGAAGGGGGACCGCACAGACTGTAACAACTTCAGGGGCATCTCACTCCTCAGTGTGCCGGGAAAGGTCCTGGCAAGGATTATTCAACATCGCCTTGCTAGGCACGCTGAGGAGAGGCTTGTGGAGCCCCAATGCGGTTTCAGGAAAGGGCGGTCCTGCACAGATGCCATATTTTCTGTCCGTCTGCTACAGCAGAGGTGTAGGGAATTCCAACAAGACCTACATCTCTGCTTTATTAACCTGGCCAAGGCCTATGATACCATCAGTAGGCCTGGGCTCTGGGTTGTTCTTCGTGCTTTCGGAGTCCCTGACCCTCTGCTCACGATCATTAAGGACCTTCATGATGGTGAGCGGCCCCGCGTCAAACTACGTGGCCGTCAGTCAGAGCCATTCCCTCTACACCTTGGGGTGTGACAGGGAGGTCCTCTGGCTTCCACATTATTTAACATATCTTTTGACCACATAGTTCGTAAAGCCTTCAATGGCTGTACTGGAGGAATTACCATATGGTACAGATACAATGGGAGGCTGATCGATGCCCGGGTGCGGTCAATGGATGGCTCCCTATTGCTCAACCATTTTATGTATGCCGATGCTTTGGTGATTGCTGCTCACTCAGAGGAGGAGTTGGAGGCACTGCTGCTGAACCTGGAGCTTGCCACTAAGAGGTGGTGGCTTACCATCAGCCCCACCAAAATTAAGCACGTGCCTGGGTATTTTGTACCATCGGACAATCCACCCCCACAACTGACAATTGGTGAGCGGAAGTTGTGGAGAGTTTGGAGAGATTCCCATACCTGGCCAGTGTGCTCATGACCGGCTCCGGTTTCACAGCAGAGGTCTCACTCCAAATCAGTCGAGCGCCATTATCTTTTTATTGGCTGCGTTACGCTGTGTGGAAGCTACCTGGTCTCTCGCTCCACATGAAGCTCCAGGTCTTCTCGCCCACGCTAATTCCCTCCCTTCTCTACACTTGCGAAACGTGCACCCCCCTAATGGAACATCTTCGCCGGTTAGAAACATTTAGGCTGGCTTGCTAACGATCCATCCTGGGTTTAACCATATGTGTGTGTGTGCGTCTAAGTCGATGTGTTTCTATGTGTGTGGGTCGATGTCTGTGTGTAAGCCCATTTGTCTGTTTGCCTTTTTCGCCCGGGCAACGCCGGGTTCTTAACGCTAGTATATATATACACATTGAGGTGCTGATCGATGCTCGGGTATGGTCAAGAGATGGCTCCCTATTGGTAAACCATTTTAGGTAATTGCTGCCCACTCTGAGAAAGTGTTGGACATGCCACTGCACCTGAAAAATCCTACTTCGAGATGGAGCCTTACCATCTACCCCACACAAAAGGCACCTACCTGGGTATTTTATGTCATTGAATGTCCTCTCCTCCCTTTCACTCTCTATGAGGGAAGGGGCAGTTATGGAAAGAGTGGATAAGAGTTCGTACCTGGGCAGTGTGCTTATTACCAGCTCTGGTGTGGCAGGAGAGGTCTCACTCTGAATCCGTCAAATGTTAATTATATTTTCATCAGCTGAATAATGCTGTGTGGAAGCTACCTGGTCTATTGATCCATATGAAGCTGCGAGTGTTCTTGGCCACAGTGATGCCTTCTCTTCTCTGAGCTTACAAAACATGGAGCCCTCCAAGGGAATGTCTGCGCTGTCTTTAAACATTCAGGCTTGCCTGCCGATGATCTTTCTTGGATCAAAAAAATTGCATTGCGTGACAGACTCACATATCCTTGTAAGATCTGGACACACTCCAATTAATGAGTTCTTCCAGCAGTCGAGACTGCATTGGCTCGGTCATCTAGCTTGCATGCCCAACCACTACATGCCTAAGCAGCTTCTGTTTGGCCAGATAGATAGGGCTAAACAGGCGCGGTCAGGGCTAGAGAAGAGAGGGACTGACGTATTACAGAAGGATATGGAGCTGATTGGACTTGCCAATGACTGGTACTAGCGATGTCCAGATTGGCCTCTGTAAAGGAGGTTCATGAAAGACGCTACTGGCCAGTTGGGGGCAGTCGTCCTCCAGCAAGAAAGGAGATTGCAGGAGTGACGCTCATAACAATAAGCTGGGTGCCTTGGCAGCTAAAACGTCATATGTCAGTCAAACCATCGCATCTGGGTTTGTCCTGTGACCTACTGCCAAAAAGCCTTCGATACGACACATGGCCTCAAAGTGGACTTAGCGTCGCACAAGCGCCGTGGTGACACCACTGCCACGTAGTGGCGAATGCTGGTTGATGTTGGTGGTGAAACATTCTGTGTGGCTCATTCTTTTTCTCTATGAGCGCTGTGCACAATTATACCATGAGCTTTGTGTTCAAATCGTACATCAAAACTTGGGGAGTTTGCTATCTTCTTCCACCTCCATTGGCTAGGGCATGTCTCCTCCATGGGCTGGGCCACGTCTCTTCCAAGGGCTGGGCCACGTCTCTTCCATGGACTGGGCCACGTCATCTGCTTGCGCTGGGCCAGGTCTCCTCCATAGAATGGGCCACATATCCTCTGAGTTAAGCCATGTTTATCCAAGTACGAGAGCAGTGCTTCCCAATTTTTGTTCATTCCATGGCACTCACGTTCGAGCTCACTCGATTTTCACGGCGCACAAAATCTAAAACTCACTTTGGTCCCGGAAGAGTGCGTGGGGATGAATTGTAGCTGAGAATTCGAGATACCCTTCTTCTACTGACCTCACCAAAATAAAGGAAATCAAGTGGCGCTGCAAAAATTCGCGACGAGAATATCCCCAACTGCTTAAGGGTATTTCCTGCCTGTGTGAGTCTCTGTGACTGTGTGTGCCTCTGTGCGTGGCTGCCTGTGCTTCCATTTCTCTGGGTATAGCTGTGTATCTCCGTCTCTTTGTGTGTATTCATGTTTGTGTGACTCTATCTGCGTCGGTGTGTGTCTTTATCTCTGTATATGTCTCCATGTTTCTCCGTGTCTTTGTGTGTCTCTCCGAGCCTCTTGTGTCTGTTTCTCTGTTTGTCTCCGTGTGTGTGGATGTCTCTGCATGTATCTCCATGTCTGCGTGTCAACCGTATGTCTCAGGAGTTGAGAGGGCTGGCGTGGGGGCTGACGGCTTTCCGTCGTACATTGCCGCCACTAATGCAGAGGGCAGGGCGGGAGATGGAGAGTGGGGGCTTGAGTTGAGTGGGTGAGTCACTCTTCGTATGAATCAGCGGGTAACTGATAATTATCTGTGCGAGTCATTTTCTGTATGCGTGAGTGAGTAGGTGAGTGAGACAAAAGAGATGCACAAACTCGTACAGAGACGCGCAGGCTCGTTATGAGTTACACACCGTTGTGGGGAACTGCATCCCCGTGATGGAGGTGATCCAGGCACTGTAGCCGGACACGCGGGTGAAGACGTTCGGCTTTGTGTCCAAGTTACAGCCTAAAGAAGACCCGAAGCTCGTGAGGCCGTGCACCTCCCACCCTCTGTCCGTCTTACAGTTCAGAGGGCCCCCGGAGTCTCCCTGCATATAAGGACAATTGTAATAATAGTAACAATGACTTAGTTGTATACAGAATAATTCATGACTATTGGCATCTTGTAGCGCATGGCAATATGCAAGGTGTGGAGGCACGAGAAGGATCCGCAGACATGCCAATTAAACGAGTGATTGCATGTGGGAGGAAACAAGAACACCGACAGAAACAAAGCGTGTTCGAGGTGGCAACACTATCCGATACATCACAGCTGGATGGAATAGATGGGGATTAGCAGGCTACACCACGTGCCACGGAAACTGTATAGCATTATGGGAAGCAACTGTGCATGAAGGGTGTGTATAACTATTACACTCACGTAGCAAGTAGAGTGAAGGCTGTCTCCTGCACAGATCATGCTGGGCTTCACTCTGGTCCCCCAATACTCGCTGCTGCTGCATTTGGCGTAGCTGACAAAGGGAAGCTTCGCTTGTTGAAGAGTGTCGGGTGATGGGCCATTGGCTGATGAAATGCAATAAATGTGGCAAATACAAAATAATAATTAGTGTTGTTGTAGTGTATACATTAAAAGAAGTAGGGGCGGTGACATGGCCCAGCCGTAGCATGCTAGCATCTTATAGAAGAGATTTGTGGTCCGACATCATCAGGACCCCTTGGTTATAACTGCAGGTGTATTTACCATACAATTCTAGGTTTTGCCTGTGTCAAAGTGCACATTAACCATCCCATAACATCATTTGAAAACAGTATGCCAGCGTCGTGGTCCCAAATTTTTAAAAAAAATGTATTTGGTTATTTTGGTAAAGTCACGTAGATAGAAAAAATAATAAAAATAACGTGAATAAAAATACCACGACGTTTCGATCACAACACAAGCGGTCGTTATCAGGAAAAGGGGTAAAGCCTCTAAAGGCACATTGTTTATAAAGGTTTGGAGATGGGCGTAGCCCAAGTGTATCAATGCATTGCTGCTGCATTGGCATTGCTGCTGCATTGCAATGTTGGTGCTGCCGCATTGGCATTGCTTGTGCTGCTGATACACTTGGGCTACGCCCATCTTCAAACCTTTATGAACAATGCGCCTTTAGAGGCTAACCCCTTTTCCTGATGACGACCGCTTGTGTTGAGATCGAAACGTCGTGGTATTTTTATTCACTGTATTTGTATTATTATGTTTTCTATCTACGTGACTTTACCGAAAGAACCAAAGAATATGAATTCCTGCGGTCACGAAAGTTTTAAGTCGAAAAAATATATATATTTGAAAATTGCTCAATTGGGATTATACATAGCATCATGGTCCCAACTGTGAAACGACTGCAGCCTATCTTAAAACAGCACCTTCATGATATCCTCGTGTCTTAATAATAGCGTGAAAATCAAATGGACTGAAACAATATTTTAGATCAGCAGACAATATGCCTCCCTACACATAAAAAAGATATTAGTGTTTTTTTATACATCTTATCAGCCACACGTCCTTCTTGCAATGTATAATTTGACCAGCATTGGTTTAAGCAATCCTGACTGCTGATAAGACAATGAATGTTGACAATGTTCCAGAGTTTTGGTTGTATGGAACTAACGCTGATGAAATTATGTACTCTCAGAGTCTTTGTTTTTTTGGCGTGTTTCTCAATGTGAAAACTACATTTTAGGTGGGAATCAAGTAAGAACAAGAGGAATTTATAAGAGAGAACAACATTTCAAATTGAGGAACTGCAAAGAGTAAAAGAAAGTGTGGTTGATGAATTTGGAAATGCATGCATTCAATGTCGACTGCCTTTTATAGAAGTAAATATTTACGCGATCTAACCCAAAAACCTCTATTATGGATAACCGAATGGCATTAATACTTCTATTAAAGGCAACCGACATTAAATGCATACATTTACAAAATTCATAAACCATACTTTCTTTCACTCTTTGCAGTTCCATAATTGAAAACGTTGTTCTCTCTAATAAATACCTCTGTATCTGACTTGATTCCCACCTAAAATGTAGTTTTCACATTCAGAAACAAGCCAAAAAAACAAAGACTCTGAGAGTGCATAATTTCATCAGCATTAGTTTCCACACAATCAAAACTCTGGAACATTGTCGACATTCATTGTCTTATCAGCAGTCAGAATTGCTTAAACCAATGCTGGTCAAATTATACATTGCAAGAAGGACGTGTGGCCGATGAGATGTATAAAAACACTCATATTTTTTCGTTTAGGGAGGCATATTGTCTGCTGATCTAAAATATTGTTTCAGTAAATTTGATATTCACGCTATTATTAATCTCAATAATGGATGATATTGGTCGCGAAAGCCTACGTGTTAAGCCATTTGGTTATGTGGATAGTAATGAAATCATATTGCAGTTTTCTTTGTAATTTGAGGACAGAAGATTCAGGAAAATATAGGGTTATATCATAAGCATAGACATTTATTTATGTACACAATTGCTTTGTGCTGGCATTATTTATACAAAGGGAGAAGCACGATGGACCTTTGTTGATCCTGGAAAAGACAGACGTTACCAAATATAATGTTTTGTTTGTTTGGTCCTTACTTGACAGACTTCCCCAGCCGGTCGCAAAACACTCGGGGTTGTTGGACAGGATGTGTTCCGGGTACGGCAGGGTCGCAGGTTGGGTCGTGTTGGTGATCGGCACAGATTCATTGAGCTCAATGAGTGCAATGTCAAACCTGCATGGGTTGGTGCGGGCACGGTGAGTGGACAATGGACGAAGGGGAAGTGGAGTTTACGGTAACAGTGCATGAGGAATTATACACGGGTCATCGTTTTCAGAATCATTCAAGTTGCATGGTGAATACGACTCTAGCCACTGCAAGGCACCTACTCTAAGGCACCTTGTGATATATTTGCCCTTATTTCTGAGTTACATGGTAAGGGTTTGCCGTACAATGTCTTGGTCATGCCAGCACTAGAAGGAGCTCTATATGATATTTGGTTCACAGATATGGTGGGTGGGGAAAGGTGGATATACCCACAATTAATGTCATCATATAGGACCTGACGATCGATTGTGCTGTGTACATTTTACTGCTAGGTGAGGAGAGGTGAGAGCAAAAAAAACGTCTTAATTTATCCAACTGCCATGCCAGGAGATTGAATAAAACTGGGGACCTCTGGATTGCAAGTCCAATGTGATAACCATTGTACCACTATGGCAGCTCCATTTGTTTCTTAATTTAATAAAATATAAAACACACGGTTATTGCTCTATACAATCCTGTATGTGCGGGAAACTTGTAACTGATTGTTCTTTACCATGTGTTTGAATGTGGTTACCTGTAACACAAAATCAACTATTTGAACAATTTTAAAGTGTAAAAAATTTAAATGTTCCCCATCTCCATCGACCCACGCTGACCAGCGTGGTAGTGTATGCCCATATAACCTACACATCTCGCCATAGGTGTGATGAAGCCCTTATCCAACAGTGGATTGACCAATGGGCTATACATGTATATACGTACCCATAGTCTATAAAGCTTGCATTCCATCTCGGATGGACGTGTGTATTCTTGATTTGCACATGAAGTTGTCCCTCTTCAATCATTTTCAAATTGTGTTTTCCAAGACGCACGGACTGAGAATAATTAGTGCTGTGGGAGATAAAGGGCAGCAGGAGATTAGAAGGATTAATGAGGTACAAGGATCGGACGCTCACTTCATAACAGTTCTTCGTTTTGAGAAACACGTTCCTTCGGAGTCGGCAGGTAGGAACTTGGTTGGACAGCACATTCGTGTTGATGTCGGGCACGAGATCCGGATTGAGATGGTACCGGACGTCGTTCACGCGCAGCACGGAGACGTGCCGTTCAACGAGATGCTCCGGCCGGGTGCACTGCTCGGCGACTTGCTCATTGGTGAGGCGGAACACAATGGGAAGCTGTTCGACGGGGCCGGCGTCGACGATGGTCTTATTGGCCTCAAAGAGAAACTCATTGCACGACGCGCACGCCGCGATGCGCCCCGTGCCGGGGTCACGGGCAGCCGCACTGCGCTGACAGTGCACAGCGTCGTCGTGGCCTACCGCGCCGCCAATGGCTCGCAGGATCCGCTCGCAGACCGCGGGTCCGTTAGGCCCATGCAGGTTCTCATCATTGAAAACAAAGGCGTCGGGATGGTTTGCGCACAGGTGGAAATACAGCAGCGCCAAACGCGGATCCTTCGCGAAATTTTGCGACTTCGCCAGGAACCTGACGGTCTCCTCACTAGGGTCCTGCTCAGCGAGAGCGGTCTCGGCTAGAGACGCCAGCATGGCGTCCTCAGTATCGACGCTGACGCGTCGCTTCTCGGCCTTCACAACGCGCGCACGCTCCAGTCGAGCAGCACGCTCTTCGGGCATCTCGTCCTTTATTGTGCGCCCGCCGCCGTACTGTGGCCAGACGTCGCCAATGGTTGCGAACATCCCCACTTTCTCCACACCGCCGATGGTTGCACTGAACGTCGGCGATCGCGCCAGAAAACTTTTGCAGTCAAGCAAACTGCAATATGCCAGTCACAGTCACTGAACTGCGCAGAGTGCACGACAGACAAATATGCACGACAGACAGCCAAATAATCCCTGGTGGGCAGTGTGGAACCTGTTGTTCCTCCCTGTATAAGATTCAAATACTGTCAATAATAGCTGTATTATAATAAAATACTGTCAATTATCCTTTTTCACACTCACGATGTATGTATCATGTCAGAAAAATTTATAAATAAGAAATGCCAAACCTATTTTTTTCAAATTAAGAAATGGCAACCTCGTGTCTTACCCACAAATGTAGCAACTACCCAAAGCGTTGAGTAGGCACGTAAAATAAATTCATCAACTGAAATTGATTATGCTCCTGACAAATAAACAAGTCACGTGAGATTAGATTATTTACAATGCATGTACATTACATGCCAATGTTCATCATCATCAGCCATGCTCAATCTACTGCTGGGAGAAAAGGTTCCCCAATATTTTCCCCGATATTGTCACCATCCCTCATGATCTTGTGATCCACCCAGCTCATGCGCATGAGATGATCTCATTGCTTCATCTCTGTGGTGGTTATTTTCTCACACGTGTTTTCTCCATCGGTTGACATTCCATCCCAAGTTCTGTCCACTTGCTATTATCCCTTTTAGTCACGATGTGTCTTGGGCAAGCCTAATTAAAACTCTACTTGCATTTTTGCAATGTTGAATTGAGGAGAAAGTAAAGTAACCAAAAAATAACTGTATGAATTAAAATAGAGATGGTCAAAATGGGAAAAAATAATGAAATAATGACTGTAAATCTATCACAATTAATTGAAAAACTGGAAAGTGTGCTGGGAGTGGGGGGGGGGGGACTCCAGTTGAATCGTAAACATGGCCACAGGCAGCCAATGCCACCATGCACACATGTCCAGTTAGGGTTGTTCATTGAATTTTTAAGGGTGTTGCGATAATTGCATGCACAAAAGCCTATTAAAAAAAGCATTACCAATCTTCAGCACACCCACAATGAGTGAAATATGGTCAAAACAAGCTCAATGACTGACATGGCGTGGTTAGGCCTTCATCTAGCAGTGGCTTGACCAAGTGGTGTACGTTTATTATATTGTTTATATTGTATCTATAATGATCAGAACAATGACATTGCAACATGCGTCTGTAAAAATGCGTGCCATGCGCCAAGCAGTTTGATCAAGTACTCAAAAAGTACATGGCCACAGGCAGCCAATGCCACCATGCACACATGTCCAGTTAGGGATGTTCATTGAATTTTTAAGGGTGTTGCGATAATTGCATGCACAAAAGCCTATTAAAAAAAAGCATTACCAATCTTCAGCACACCTACAATGAGTGAAATATGGTCAAAACAAGCTCAATGACTGACATGGTGTGGTTAGGCCTTCATCTAGCAGTGGCTTGACCAAGTGGTGTACGTTTATTATATTGTTTATATTGTATCTATAATGATCAGAACAATGACATTGCAACATGCGTCTGTAAAAATGCGTGCCATGCGCCAAGCAGTTTGATCAAGTACTCAAAAAGTAGAAGATTATAGATTCCATGACTTAGGAATCAATACAATATTCCATAAGCAAATGGTACAAATCGATAATAAAAGTGCAGGAGATACAAAACGCTGAGTACGCTTCGCCAGTACTCTAACTTACCATACGATATTATATGTGCATAGGCAGCTTATTCTGCGTCAAGAGATACGAGAAAATAGCTTATCAATATACTCGTGGTGTTTTTAGTGATAAAGCAAATATCTGTGGAGTCACGTACCGCCTTGAAGACTCTTAATAGAAGACTCTTAATATTTACGTTGAAGCCTATTCGCCATTGTTTGAAGCACCATCGGTGGGGGAGGGAGAGAGCACAGAGGTGGTGGGGTGGGAAAGGACTGGCACCAAGATGGCCTCGAGTTGCATGGGAGAGTTAACGCAGCGAATAAGATGCACGACACACAGACAAATAATCCCTGGTGGGCAGTGTGGAACCTGTTGTTCCTACCTGTATGTATAAAAAATAACTAGACTTTAGGTAGCCAGGCAGATAGCCCCCTTAACTATCGCCCCCCCCTCCCTTAGGCCCCTCCCCTGAACCTCCTCCCTTAGGCCCCTCCCCTGACCCTCCTCCCTTAGGCCCCTCCCCTCTCCGTACCCGGAAGAAGGTCTCCACCAATCAAAGAGCTGTTTATGTTATATATTTATTTATGCACGACAAACAAACAGACAGTCAGACAAACAGACAGACAATAAATCCCTGGTGGGCAGTGTGGAACATTGTTCCTACCTGTAAAAAAAACACATTCACTCCGGCCCTACCATGTGGCCGAAATGTCTGATGCGTGACAGTCAACCCAATTTTTTTTTTAATTATAAGACCTGGAATTCAGCGAGATTAAGTAAAAATCCAAAATGTATTTGATAATTTTTTTGTACAATCATTGTTGATCGCATTGAGACCATGAATTCATCACACTTGAGAACAGCGATTAAATCACGCCTCTGTTTGTGCAAGTGTATGGGTCTCGATGTAAGATATGGGGTGACCAGGTGTCAAAGTGTCCACACGTGTGCCTTTGTATGTATGTATGTTGAACTTTTTTCTGACTGTGTGTAGTCAACCATTCTAATCGGAGGTGTGGGGGAAGGACAACAAACTAATCACTAAAAGCAGTTATAAAGAAATGGGTTTCCAATATAGATTTACCAAAAAGCCACTGCGAGGATGACCAGAGTTTATATGATGGATTGTGGTCCTTAACGAGATCAACAAGGTTTGTGGTTCATTTATAGCAAACACTTTGTGTGTAATGAGTGAGACGTTATAATGTATTCGTTCAGCAACCTGAAGCCAATGCAGCTTAGGAAACACCGGACGGAAGCTGTGCTTTCTGTGTGGAGTTTGTACGTTCACCCATATAGAGTGTGAGTGTAAGTGTTTGATGTTTGGGCTGGACAGTCCTTCACTCGTTGCAGGAAACTGCGACAGGGAGTAACTATTCTCAAAAACAAAAGAATGAAGGGGGTGTGGGAGCGTGGCGATGAGCTGTCGGAAGCTGTAAGTCCCAGGCTACATTGGGCTCACCTCGCCCATAAATGGGAGGTGAGGAATAGTGATAGTGGTGGCTTACGCTTCACCAAAGACGAAAATCAGTGGAAGGATACAGGTGTAGTGGAGGAACGCGCGCGGGGGGTTGCAAAGAGTGTGCACGCATGCGTGAGCTGCGGACAGTGAGGTCACATCAGGGCGAGCAGGTGCAGAGAGGGAGACAGGGAGAGAGCAACCAGGGAGAGGCGACCAATGAAGATGCATAGCGGTGATTGGCTGGCTGCAAATGCAAACTCGGTGTAGGCGCCTCGCAGACGGGAGATGGAGGTGATAAGCGTGGCGGAGACGCCTCGTGAGCGACAGCTCAACGAGAGCCACCTAAGGTCTCTTAATGAGTGAGTGCATATTTGCTGATGTGCGGAGAAACGCAGTTGAGTTGGTTGGAGTGAAGACAGAAGAATTATTACAAGAGAAGTCCGCTCTCCACACCTCGTCCTCTCCAGCGGTGTTGGCTGATTCCCTGCTGGAGGCATGGGCGAGGTTGGAGGAGTGAGGGTAGACAGGCTAGCAGTAGAGAGGCTAGTGTAAGTCTAAGTGTGATAAGGCAAGCAGTAGAGAAGCTGGCAGAGTGTATAGTAAGGGATAGTAGTGGAGAAGCTAGCAGAGTGCAACATAGCAGGCTAGCCGAGCAAGAGAGAGTGAGCATAGCATAGCAGACGAGCAGTACAAGAGGAAGAGTTGCGACGAAAATGCGTGGTTTTGAACGCGAGTTCTGTACGAATAAAGTGACACAGGAGAAAAATAAGTTTTCCGCACGAAAAACACCACTACACAGACAAGGCTGATGAGTCAGATGCATTCTATTAGCTCCATATCCCAGGTGATGGCTAAAATGTCCCTTAGGATAAAGTAATCTTGCTCGGTGACTTTAATGCTAAAGTAGATCATGACGCAGGCACCATGGCTAGAGTGATTGCAAAGCATGTGCCAGACCAGGTCAATAACAATGGTGGGAGGCAATTCGAATTCTGTGCAGCCCATGGGCCTCTACTCACCAACACAATGT